ACATCCAGTGCTTCCAGGTTTCCATGGTGGTCTAGCTTCAATTGACTCACGAATTCAACTATAAAATTACTAAAATCTTCACAAAACCCCTTCTGATAATAATAATAATTATCATGTGATCACTAGTGACTGCCTTCAAGAGGTATTTCCTGGAGTTCTAGTGAGAAGCAGTGACCAGTGGAGTTCAACCGGCTCTGTTGTGAGATAGTAACTCACTGAGGACAATAGTGGAAGATGGCGCAGTTTCGTGGATTAGTTGGAGTTAGACATTAAGACCGTTGGATGCCGTCTCAATGGTCTAGAGGTTCGGGCGGGACCGTGGATGTGCACTGCTGAGAAGTCCCATGCTAGGGCGAAACGGCCGTCCAATGCTTCCACGTTTTCCACAGTGGTCTATCTTTAATTGACTCATGAATTTAACTCTAAAATTATATATTTTCCCTGATGACTCTGATCTTCTTCCTCTAGTTAACGGGGTTTGGGCGCAGAGGAATATCTTAGCTTGTCCTGTTGTCGCGTTGCTGATTTTCATTTCGTTCTCCGTTCCAACGTCATGTCCGTATCCCTCGAACATAGCAAATTAATATTCTTTTAGAAGTCGAATGAATGATTCTTACTACCTTAGATACTTTACCACTAACAAGGTTTTGGTCTTTGTGAAACCCAGAAAAGTCTACAATAATTTATTTACCATGAAACCTGGCATTCGTGTTCTGAATAAAGTGTCTCGAAAGTGTAGTTGCTTTGTTTTGTTAATCAATCGCCTTTGTGACTGTTATTATATAAATCTCAACTGTGTTTTAAATCAGAAGGCAATAAGAAGCGGCAACTACAGTTTATTAGTGAATAGCACGGATAACAAAGCTATAAGCACATTGAGCGAATTTGAGGCATAGAAGCGAATGTGTGTATGCGAGCAAATACAGAGCACATGCAAATTTATAGTCAAATCACATAAGTGTACAGCAAGCTAAAGCAAAGGCTAATAATAGGATTCGCGTACATATATACACGGGGAAGAGAATGAATCATCGAGTGATATTTAAGTGATCAACATTTTAGCTAGAGTCTGTCATGTGATCAAGCGTACAAGTTTATATAGTTATAATAGTGATCATAATAGTACAAAGAAATATGCGAATTGTTACTATCCGAATAACATTGTCTGTTAAGTAAGTTAATAAAAAGGCTAAATCAAAATTAACCATAATCGAAATTGGTTGTAGAATAGTTGCTATAATAGCTTTATATAACAGGTTTAATTAATTTGGTGACTACGTCAATCGCTTCAATATACTGTATATTGATAGGAACATCTTATGTGAATATGATGCTTATAAGTTATTCACCAACTCATATCATTTATATATTGAAATAGCTACCTCATAGCTTTCATAGGACAAGTGTATAGTATACAAGTGAATTCTGTTTTCCTTCGGGAATTATTGTTTTATTTTAGTTTTTTTTTAAAAACGTACGTTGCTGAACTATAAGTACATTTGAACTGTCAGATGCAAACTGTAAAAATCACAATGAAACAGTGTTTAGGTTCTGTACAGGGTCAGTAGTCAGAGAATCATCATTTAATGAGGTGTTAAGCTTTCATAAACTTAAAGTTTTTTTTAGTGATTTGAGTACATTTTATCTGCAGTACAATTAGATGTAATAGTTAATTTTTGGAAAGTTTAAGATTTTTCGTTGTTAAGCTTTTCATAAAAATATTTGTTAGAAACTTCGATAAACATCCTCTACTTTGTTCTTTTTCTCATTTTATATAGATATTGGAGAGTTGAAATAGGGTTTTAAGTGATCGCTTTCTTTTTTTCCCATATAATAATAACAATGTAGATTACCGATGAACACCGTGTTTTGTACGTTTGTATTAATCTGTATTATGATCATCTTTTTTTAAACATTTTCCTCGTTTTCTTTTGGTATCCTTGATTTATGTTAATAAGAAATAACCTTGTTCAAATAGATGAAAAGACAGAACTACTTTTTACATGAAATATCCTTTTTCCCTTAAATTCTAAATATTCTTGGTTTTTTTTCTAAAGGTTACGAAAGCATATTTTCAAAGACGAAATAATTGCGCTTCATTATGAAAATATACCGTAGTAGTGTAACTGTTCGTCTCCTAACTGACGTGGCTTAAGTTCATTAATCTTTCTCGCCTCCTTTATCATAGTCAGGATGATAGGATCTCCAGTTTCCTTATCTTATAAGTAGGGCTGAAAGTTGACTACATGACTTGACATGAATAATTATTTATGTAACGAGAGTGAATTGACAACAGGACTAAACAACTATTAAATAAAAATGTCGAAGAAAACAAACAGAGATTGGGATTTTAAGGTTTTTAATGACGTTAAGTTCAAGATTCAGAAGAAAAGAACAGATACACTAGTTTCTGTATGGCTGATCTCTGAGCCACATACATGGAAACTTCCTAGTATCGAATGCAGTTAGTGGGTTTCATAACCTATGAAAATAAGGACTAGACATTGCTTCATATTTCGAATTAATGGTCGATATGTTGTGTCTGGGCAAGTTTGGCACATAATTCGACCACTTCAAGCTATATTATTATACCATTAATTAGTACTGTTTGGCTAATATCAGCATTACCTAACTAGGTGATCACTCATCATTTGTGAAGTTAGGTTGATTAGATTTTCTTTGTCTGATGCTAACTATCTTACATGATCACACTAATTTTAGTGATCCTTATTCCTTCAATTTATATTGGTTTATGTTTATTTTCATCTCTTACATTCTTTGTAATAGACTACATTAATTCATTCATCATCTGATAACTTGTATCTAAAGTGAACTGTCACATAAAAACCTCTTTGTATACGATTCATTGTTTATTTGTGTTTTAAAACTGTTTTCCTAATGGCTAACATGAAATTGTCATAATTTTAATTTTTAACTGTGTTATATCATTGTTATCAGAACAATTAGGATTATTTATCATTCTATCTAAGTAAATAAAATTGTTTATCTCATGATTCATTAGTCATTTTTATCCATCAGTCCAAAAGTGTTTAAACATATTTTTGTAAGAAAAAAAATAGTTACGATGGTGAATCAATATGTTATTAAAATGTAAATTATTCAATTATAATTTTTAGAATTATTGGTTACTTATTAGATTGATCTAGTTTCAATGCTTGTGATTGATGTGTTAATTATTTCCTCTTAATTTCTAATTATTATCTCAGTTTATTGAAGATTTGTACTATTGTATAAATGTGATATATTCTTAAGTAATACGAATGTCCTCTTGGGCTGATCCACTCTATCTCGCTATACATGCATAATATCTGATTCCAACTCATCAGTACACATGGATTAGCATTTTTTTTGGCAAAAATCCCTCTCGTTTAATACACTCTATAAATGTATTAATTCTTTATAAATTTTATTGCAATTTTAAAGGTCATTATGTTTTAGCCTTATTTTGTACCCATAATACTACTCAAATACTACTTATAAATGTGTTTCAAGTTATATTTAGTATTTAAAGAAGACAATATAAAACCATTAATTTCGCTGACATTTTAACATCCATTATTTTGGTTCTAGACTTTCTACAATTTCTGAATTTCAACGTATATACTCACATGTTATGTTTAAAAATCTATGTCACAACACATGTTTTCTCAGTACACAACCAGAATATATAGATTTCATTCTCTGGTATTTAATACATATTACTTGAAGGAACAGATACAAATAATTGTTCACACTTAAACCTCGATATTAGTCACATGTCGATTGTGAACATAGTGATAGCAAAAGAGTGATTGAGTAGTTAAAATGCTTAGACTTCAAACAGAGTAGATCTCAGGTTCCACCTACTTGATTCCTGGTTTTTAAGCTTGCACTTGATAAATAAGTTAGGTTAATGTGATAATAAAAACTATGGGGGAGGTGAAAGTAGGGCTTTATTCAACTAATCAGTGCTGCACAAAATCAGACAGACAATTATATCATATATATGTGTGGTGTATGCTACTTATGTTTACAGATATAATTAGTAACAACAATCAAAAGTTGAATATCTGGTAGCAGAACATTGAGATCAAATTGAAGACAACAGGAATGTAAATAAAGAGTTATTATAATAAGAACAGAAATGAAGGGATGGTGAAGTTTGTAAGCGACAACTGATGGGAGATGTACAAATAACGTATTTAATGCATGGTTCTTATACTTTATGAAGGAACTCTAACTTTGCAATCAACCATAAATTCGTCTTCCTTGTCTGAATTCTTCGTTCTTAACATGCACAAGTTTGTCTCATAGTTTTCCGATAAAATCATTCGTCAGATGTTAAAATGCACTCGTAATAAGATGTGTATTTATGTGTTATATCCTGACGAGAATTATGAATGATAACTTTTGAGAACTATTTATGGACCAACACTATATGTTTTTATTGTATGACTGTTAAGTAGATAAACTATGCATATCGATGTTCCTCTTATTATAAGCTTTATTTTGACCCATAGACTATTACTATACGATTTACCATTCTTGGGTTATCCACAGTCTATCAACTACTATCTCCCACATTCACAGCCACTTCGTGCAAATGTTATTTTCTATTTTATAGTGCGATGTGGTCTGTTTGGTTTGTATGTAAACCCAGTATGTTTGAAATACACGATTCATATCGCAGAAGCTAAGATTGGTGTTCTGGACTCTAACAAGCAGGACTAGGCAGGGAGAACGACCGATATGGACTTGAGACTGTTCGTACGGGTTTACGCGTCATTGGTCCAGTCGATAAATCACTGTTCTTTAATTGGTGGTGTCATTACGTTATATATTAATATGGCACAAGGTCACGAGTTATAACGTTATGTATCAGTTCCTGGCTTTCATTTTCTTTCGTAATTTTCTAATTTTGTTTTTTAACTGTTATTTGTTTTAAATAGCTGTAAATTATTTTTTCTAATATGATTATTCATTTATATTTATAATAATAGGGTTCCAGGCTTCGATAAGTTGCTTCGTTTCCTTGTCAGCATGAAAAATGGGACTGTTCAGGAAGCCCATGTTGTTTTGGGACGTGCACAGGTAAAATTTTTCTTTAGGTAGTATATAACTTTATCTTAAGTCTTAAAGTTTGTACGTGTTTGTACACAGGATAAATTGTATGCTTTATGCCTGCTGACTTATGTTGCTCTAAACATAGATGAACAGACAAACAAACTGAATAATATCCTCTGCATTTTTGATGGGACTAAAATTTCAGATATAAGTTACATCGTGTTCTTAACTTATCAGCTAGATGTACTTACATTCCAATCCCGGATACGTGCTTGTTAAGCCACCAATGCCTTATTCACTCGGTTATTGCGTTATGGTGATTGCCAGTTGCTTGAAAATCCTATTCAAAAACCTATATGCTATTAGAGACCAGGCAGTTTGCTTCTGAAAATCAACAAGAAAAAAATTGACTGGTTAAATTATTTAATATACCAAACTGGTGTCACTAGTCCTCGAAGGTGCGTAATACCTTACATAACTAATTAAGTTCTTTTCATAGGGTTTACTGATAACTGTAGTTCTAGTCTCAATTTTTCAGATCTACCAATTTTCTCAAATGAAAACAATAACCTGATAGGCTTTCCGCTTTAAATACTTGTAACTTTTTCACGGCATAATTCCGGTGGAGTTTTGTTCTCTGAGCTGAATAGTTTGGTTGTGTAGCTTCTTCTGAACGACCTCATCAACATAAACTTCAGGTAGAAGTGAAGTGTTCGAATTTCTTCACATCTGATTCGTAACTTGTCCTGCAGATCTCGATGTTGATTGGCTCTTGCTGACATTAAACCTGTCATTGTTTACTTCTTTGGGAGATACAATCAAAACAAAGAAGTAAACAATGACAGGTTTAATGTCAACAAGAGCCAATCAACATCGAGATCTGCAGGACAAGTTACGAATCAGATGTGAAGAAATTCGAACACTTCACTTCTACCTGAAGTTTATGTTGATGAGGTCGTTCAGAAGAAGCTACACAACCAAACTATTCATCTCATAAAATAAAACTTCATCAAAATCATCCACCTGAGCTACAAATATTCACCATCTCATGGCATAATCTCCATCAACCATGTCTCACAGCTGTAAATAAACTGGAACAGACTACTATACTGTTTAGTTAAATATACTAATGAGTAAAACGGTTTCTTATAAAAGGCTTTTAGTCCTATAGCACTCCCTGCTTGTAAACTATTTCAATTAGAATCATAAAAATAACGCGGATTGAATGATAGCTTAATTTACGCAGACTATTGTCGAGTTTGCACAATTCGAAAACTTCTCTTCCTAGTTCATGTTAATTTGCCTGTCAGTTTCCATTAATTTCGTAAATAAGATATCCAACATGTACTATGTTCCTGTATGCTCTAATTACACCAATCATCATTGATTATTGAATATCTTGTTCAACCAACCTTAAACACTTTGATATATGTCATTGTTGCACCAAACACTGTAAAAAATTAATCCCATCCGTTGTTTTATCCATGTTCTTAAAAATCAGTCAATAGCACACATGGAATTAATGCGACAAATTCTTTAACAAAACATATTTCTTATGAGTACTTGTTGATTTCCATTGATTTACTTTTTTTATACATTTGGAATTCCAATAATATTTTCGTTTCTGTGAACTTTGCGTTATATTACAGGAACTCATTGAGTGCCTTCAACGCAATGGGTTGGTCACAAGATTAAAAACATTTGGAATTTTCTAATTATTAATTCTTTTCTGTTTATTTCAAGTTTGTAATATTGGACAGTTATAATAACATAAAATTCTTATATACATTAAATGAATTTTAATTAAATTTTAGAAATTTGTTGCAAGTGGATTTGTAGAACATTTAGACTTTTTGCCATATTGGACTGCTAAAGGTGAATATTTTCGTAGATTACATCAATTAGATACTGGACGTTCATATCAAAGTTTAGATAATTTACCTAAAGCAGTGAATATACCGTCGAAATCTTTAAATCGGTTTCAATCACATATGTCCGATGAGGAAATTATTCAAAGTATTCATGCTATAGATAGAAAAGTACGTTCCTCTTAACATTGACTTCACTGTACATAGTCAAGTACTATAATTAGCACACATACTCAAGCTTTGAGTGAACAAACCTGTCATTGATTATATACATCGAATTTATGTATTTTTTGTTGTGTTTCGATAATTAACTTTCACATCTTTTATAAACTGGATTAGAAAGTTGAATGTTTCAAACAAAATTTCCACATATCACTCACATAAATGATAATTGTTTGAATAGTAGTGAATAGCTTTCAGATCTAATTCTCAACGTTTTAAAGACCATGTACGAGAGTTCAAACATTTTGAGAATAATATGATAGCATTTGTCGATCATCAAGTTATGTCGCAAATTGACTCAACTTGGTTGAAAAAGTAGACTATAGTTTGAGATTGTTGTGGTCACCACTAGTTCTAGCACCCGATACAGCAAAGTTTTAGTCTTGAGACATAACACGTAAATCTACATGTAAACCTTCGATGGTAAATAATATTCGGGTTTATAGGTTTAAGGTGATTACTTCTTTTCTAAGTTGTATGTAATGTTATAAAGACTTTCAATATTCATTGAGATCTTGTGTTTTAAAAAGACAAAATCTATAGCTTATAACTATCCTTACAGGGTAATTTCCCCAATAGCTAAATCAGTAGTAACAGCTTTCTCTTAACTTTAGTATTGAATTTTTCTAATTTACATACTTGATTCTATTACTATTTTGCTTCTTCTGATGAAATATACCTTTTTGTGTTCTTTTCTCCCTGTTCAACTGTGTCGTCTGGATTAAAAAACAACTTTATATAGCTTTTACAAAAACTAACTGATCAACAAGTAATTGAACAAGCTATTAAACCAGGTGATAGTCCATTAAATTTAGCTTATCGAATTGCTGCATTACATGAATTATTAAATCGACATGGTTTGGATCATGGTTTCTCAACTGATCAGCATTTTCTCATTGTACGTGATTGCCTCACAGAATTGTCACGAAAAGCCGGTATTCAACAGGCATGGTGAATCTCTACTCTTTTTTAAATCTTGAATTTATTATAACTGAAATTTAAGATTTTTCAAATCCTTTTTAACTATTATTTATTTTAATGGTTGAGATCATGAGTCGATTGAAGCTAGACCACCATGGAAAACCTGGAAGCACTGGACAGCCGTTTCGTCCTAGTATAGGACTCCTCAGCAGTGCGCATCTACGTCCAGTGCTTCCAAGTTTTCCATGATGATCTAGCTTCAATGAATTCATGATCTCAACTATTAAAATTACTATGATATCCACAAAATCCTTTCTGAAAATAATATTAGTTCTTAATTTTGAAATGATTTATTGGCTGTCGTTTGACGTAGATCAGTGCTATTCAACTTATTATTAGATAAATCTAAGAGAAAAAACAGATTGTCTGTGTTTATCAATCATTATCGTCAATTAATAGCATCTATACTTTTGTTGATAACATCGTGTATTTTGATTTGTTATATGTATTAATTTAAGCTTGATTAAACCATGTTTATTAAGTCACTAATAACTGAGCCAAAAGTTGCGTTTTTTTTTCTGGAGTCTCAAAACGAGCTTATAAATCCTCTTACATTTGGATATAATTACTGTTGTTAAAAACGCTCAATGATTATAACATCTGTATCCTACATCTCCTTTCAATTGTTAATATCTAGTATTATAGTTTTGGTTTACTGTATTTTTTCCCAATATAGTTAGTTTTGAATGATTTGTTTATAAAGTATGTTTTAAATAAGATTTCTAACGTTATCTATACTTTACTCTGTCAGCAAGAATATTCACCTTCACCACAACCAATGCGATTATTATTTCAATCAGGAAAATAGCACATATACATCTTTATAGCTTTAAGTTTCTATGTATTCTAATCATACTAGAAAGTTTAATTGGAGTTTTGTTTCAATACTGAATATCCTTCTCACTGGACTATTGAGATGAATTATAACTGAGGTAGATAATTTCCATTGTATTGTGTTATTCATCAACTGGATGGTTCGATTACCAGCTTTTAGCTGTCATTATGGTCAACATCACGTTAATCTCATTGAAGTAGAAGTGTGATTTTTGTTCATAATTATTCCATAAGCGTTAAGTTAATCGATTTTTATGGTTTTGTTCGTGACTGATTGTCATCATCATAGCTTTTGTTATCCTTGCATTGTATTGACCTCCGATCATATGGTTAATTGATCTCTCCTATGTGGATTAATAACTTGAATCGATTATGTGATTGTTTATTGTTTGGAAATTGATCTAAATAGGATGTTTCTAAAAGTATTATCTAACATTATTAAAATTTCATCAATTCATCATATATAGCATTTATCATAAGTCTGTTTACTTGCTGTTGGTAAACATTAACTATTTAAAGGCTACCACTAGACTGTAATTCAATATCATTATGTAAGGCTTAGCAAACCGTTTATTTGGCTACTGTTATGACTTGTAACAGACTAAGTAACGTTTCTGAACTTCTAATCTGTTTGTGGTAAATTTTCTAACAGTTCACTTCGTTGCAATTTACGTCTCTGTATGTTTTTCATACAGTAATGTTTTATGTATATCTTTGCATATAATACTGTATGTATGTAGTATTAATATTTATTTGAAGTGACTATTAAACCTGTTCTTTTCGTGATTAATTCACAATTCACCATAAATTGTTGTCTGCTCTTCATTATTTTCAGGTGTGTAGTACGTTTATCTGCTGCTTTATTATCTCAATTCGCCAGTAGTTTAGCTCCGTCATTGTCAACTATTCTCGTTTGTGGCAAACAGCTTACTGTTGGCATTCCCCAAAGCTCAGAAGTTGTTGTCAACAAACCTTTAAATCCAGATGAATTACATGCTTTATTACGTGAAGAAGTTTATTCATATGATCCGGTACAGTTTTCCTTACAACAAGAACTTATCCTATCTGTTAGTAGTTTATTGACTACAAATAAAGAGTTGTTTGATGGAATCAAATTTATACGCTTTGGGTGAGTAACTTAACATCTCGTAAATAGAGATTTGTACAATGGATATATATTTTCAACATATTTTCAAGCAGTATATATGTATATGTATTAAGTGTGGCGCATATATATTTGGCGCACTCTTGTATGTTCAAATAAATAATATGTATTAAACAGACAATCAATAGGCAATGTAGCTTTTAGTGATAGACAATGGTGGAACACTTTTAGTCATGATTAAAAGATTATATCTTAGTTTGGTCAGTTATGGACTTGAAACAAATGTGTATCGTTCAAGTTATCATCTCTTACATCACCACAAATTAATAAGACATAAATAAACTGTTATCATCCCAAGTGGAAATATTAATATTAGGAAGTATATTGTTCAATACAAAAGATCAGAGAATTAAAAAGTATAAAATAACATGAAGCTCTAAATCAATAGGAAAATAAATAATAAATACCAATACATTAATTGAATCAACTTTGAACTATTTTTATTTTCTATGGTCTGCAATCACTATCTACAGTTACTATGCCCATTCATATTTGGCATTTGTTTGCTGTGATGAACTGAAATAAATTAATTTGTAGTCAGTTGTTTCTTTTCTTCAATTAGACGAGTCTGAATAAACTGAAGGATCTATATAGATATATGAAACCATATTAAAGTGAATCATTTTGAGTTACCATATTTCGCAATAAAAATAAAAGTGAACATTCATAAAAATGAAATGATGTTATCACGATGAATATAAGAGAGAAAAGGTGGGAAAAAGAGACATTTTCTGCTGGATATTGCAATTTAGAATTCTTAGCAAAAAGTATTTCAACAAGTTTCTTTTACAAAAAATAAAGTGAAAGAAACTGATAACTGGATACATAAATACATAATTTAAGTAGATAAATTGCTTAGAATTAAATGATTTGTTCTCTTAAAAAGATTTGAATCGGTTCAATATTTTAATTACAAACATGTTTAAGAATACAAGTTGTTGACTAGATCAGCTTTAACTATCTGTTCGTTATGACGTGCAGTTGCTAGATAAGGTATTGTAGAGATTTTATATCTTTTTTTGCATGCATGGATTCTAATGTATTGACATCTCGTTCTACCAGAAGATATACAAAAAGAAAGATATAAATGAAGTGGATGATTAATATTTGATAAAATAACACCTGACAGCAATTTACAAGATGTCTATCCATAATCATATTAATAATTACCTCAAAAGATTCATTACACACCCTGCTAATTGCCTTCACCACTCTTCGCAGTACAGCAAATCCTTTCCCAAAACCACGGGTAATATGCAATTGACAAATCGTAAAAGTAAATGTCAAGTAATCCCAAAAGCATGCAGCCTCTTTATGTAGTAAGTGAGACGGAAAACGTTTTTCAGCAAAAATAAAGTATGAGAAGGCCAAGAGAGATCAGAGGAAAAACTCACATCATGGTAAATGACTTTTGACGCTATGTTTATCAAGGAATCTCCAATAATGCAAATATTTTAGGATTCCAACTGTGTGTTTAGGTGTTGTTTATGTTTCAGGCTAAAGTTAATCGTTTGAAATTTAGACGGGTTGTGAGACCAATAACAACAGACCACCATTCAATACGAGAAGAGAACTCATTCATTTCATGGGGATTTAAGGATGTAGAAATCGACATACAGACAGTGAGATCTTTCGCGTACACACAAAAGTGTTTTCTGTGGAAGATGGGAGAACAGTTTCTTGTGGAACACCGTGACATAATATAGACGTCGAGCTTTTTCTTCCAAACACAGTGTACTGTTCTCTTCCAGAGAGGTAGGTATATAGCTGGTTGGTTATCCAGCTGTCACTGTTGACGCTGATTAATTTTTTAAGTAGAAGTCGTCTTGGAATGGAGTCAAAGGCAGAAGTACGGTCCGTAAAAGCGCATAGAACATACTTCTTACCCTTTCCCAAGCTGCACATTATATTATGCAGAACAATAGCAGCATCCAAGGTGTTCTAGCATTTGTAAGCAAAATGATATGGGTCAGTATGCTCTATTAGTGCAGGCTGAAGTGGGAGTAGCAATAAAGTTTCTATCGTTTTGAAAAAAGGTGAAGTTATTACTATGGGTCTAAATTTCCCATTCTTATTGCCAGACACTTTCTTATGCATTGGGATTATCTTTATCTTTCTCCACATTTTTGGCATGAGATTAGTTGAAAAGGATCTGTTAAAATTGCTCGTGAATGGATAACATAGAAGTATTTAACTTTGATGATTCATGATTAATAAACCTAGTAAACGTTTACTTTCCCATTTTCAGTTGGTTATTGGAGGCAATGAAATTGAAACTTGAACTAGAAATATGTTTAGGTGTTGGTGAAGATTCTTATCATCATAATCAACAACAACAACATCACGATGGTGAATTTTGCAAATCTAGATCCATTTATGAATCTGTATTAAAATCATTGACAAATTTAGAAATACATCCACGTAGTTTAGGTGCATGTCATTTGTATAGTTTGCCTCCATGTCAAGTTAAAAATTTATTATTACGTACATTGAAGGCTGGTCAAGAAGGAAAAACTCAATATTCAGTTGATAATTCTGTAGATTCCACAACATTTACCCCTACTACAACTGGTTGTACTACTACACCTACTACTAAACCGACCGCAAATAGTACTCGAGAATTATCAGTCATCACTGAATGCGGACCAACAAGTAAGAAATATTGGGTGGTTTATATGCTCTTGTGTTGGTTTTTCACATAAAGTATTTAAAGTATAATTCTTACCATTTTACTGTTTACTAATTCGTGTAGTAAATCCTATACATAGGTGAATTATATAGTAGACATCATTAACTGAATGTAAAAAAATTAAGATCGGAATGCTCTCCATAAATAATGAAATGACAAAAATTTGAAAATGTAGAAGCTAGAGAATTTCATGATCTTTAGCAGTCAATTTGGGAAGTCGTTACGGATCAACGGTTGTTAGTACAACATAACCACCTTTTATTATACAGTTTTATGTCATATACTGCTTACGTTTTTTGTTTTATTGATTGAATTCTAGCATCGACAAAAGTATCCATTTTGAAAATTGACGTATAAAGTGACCAAACCATCGAAACCATTGTTTATAGATTTTAACCGTTATTGATTGACTTTCTCCAGTGTGTCGAAATTCATTTCCGGACATCAGGATCACTAATACAGTGTTACTACTTTATGTGAACAATCCTTTGTAGATACTGATTATAGAACGTAATTGTTTCTTAAATATCTTAAATATCAAATTTGTTTCTGTTCAACTACGATGTTAAGTATTTTTTGGCTTAACTGGACCAATATAAAAATGACCAGAAAAACAATAGGCAATCAGTTTTTTTAAAAACTATTTATTCAGTGTTTTCCGTGAACCATTTTTGAAACTTAACTAAGAAGAAAATAATTTATGGGTCAGATAATAGTCCAATTGACAGATATGAAGATTATCAGAATGGGTTTTGTGGAGAGTTTTAGAAATTTCACAGGTTGAAATCATGAGTCCATTAAAGGTAGACCACCATTGAAAACCTGGAAGCACTGGACGGCCGTTTCGTCCTAGTATGAAACTCCTCAGCAGTGCGCATCCACGGTCCCGCACCACGCGGGAAACACAAAGGTCATAATAATAGACTGAATAATAATCAACCTTTGTGTTATTTTCTTCCTTACCCATTGATTAGTACGTAATCTCATTTGTTATTTATCCTCGAATCCATTTTGGTGATACAATTTTTTCTATCCTCCTATAGACATATATAACTATGTATACGAATGATTTTGTCGAAAAGAAAATTTTCTTCTTTGCTGAATTCTCTTTTTCTTATTGGATTTTGCATTTAACTCAAATATTTGCACGTAAAAGAATCCATAATAGAAAAAATTAGTTGTATCTTTAATTTTGTTTAAGTCTCACTGGTGATTTAATAATTTAAGAGATTTGAAGTTTCCTTTTGTTTACACATTTCTAGTTACTATATATTCAGCTTGCTCTAGATAGTATTCCATTGAAAATATGTTTTCTTTAATTATTGGTATTCTATATCAAGAAGATGTTTCGGAATATATTCATCGGGCTCGTCGTACTCGTTTGCGTCGCAATATTCATCATGATAAACGTTCTCGTAATTCAAGTGTATTTTCGTCTGCAGAACTTTTAGATATACCAAAAGCATTGTTTCAACGTCAATTGGATGGGTGTTTAGGCGTAGTACCTTCAACATTTTATCAAGGTGTTTATTTTATTCTTGAACGATCTCCTCATGGTATATTGATTTACGGTAAACTTCTTCCACAGGTAAATAAACTAGTCTTTTTGGAGCTTTTCCTTCGTTTTCGTCTCATTGTTTGTACAACCAAGTTGCATGTTTTACGTTTGAACAAAGCGATACATTTTGCATTCAGTAACGTGTATTTCCATAATCACATAGATACTGGTTATATTTTGAGTGTTAAATTTGTGTGGTGTAGCACCTCAGTTACATATGTGGCCATCGATCTGAGAAACTTAAAGTAAACATCATTTTCCTTTGGTTTATGTACAATTTAAGTTCGTGATATAACTCATATGAATTCTTTTCAGTCTCGCTCATATGATAAACTGGTTTAATACAATATTAGGGGCACTTCACTAAACAATATAAATCCACAATAAATACATTTAATCCCTCCACTAGATTCTCTCTTTCCCTGAGACTCATGATTATTAGAAAACAAGACCTAACTTGTAACTTCAAAGAATTATTATTTGGCATATGTTTATGATTATTTTAAAGTTTTTAAAAGTACTTTTAATATTATTGCTGGTCTTAATTTCATCTTTAAAGAAACCTATTTTAACTGATATGACGCCGTATGATCTCAACTTTGTTGATGAAGTTGAATGTCTTCTAAGAGCAATATGTGATCCTGCTTATCGCTCATTGGTTGTTGAGACAATGATGGTCATCGCAGTTATATTACAAAGAAACACTGAATTATCATTTGATGAGGTAGTCGATATTAAACTCATTATTATGGATGCGATAAACGCTTTTAAGCGTGATCGTCATACTAACATGTAAGTTATTCTTCATTTCTTTGTTTAGATGTTTTATTCAATGTGCGATTCCTAACACTTTTAAAAGTTAATTCTAAGTGATTACAGAGGAAAAAGTGTTTTTTTAGCAAATAGTTCAGTAGTAAAATGTAACAGTGAATCATGGTTTAAAATATTTCATTTGCTTATCTTAAGGAATATTTATTTTTCATTGTTTCTATGACACGTCAATTGTTTTACTGGTTAGATATTTATTATACATCATGTAAGTTAAAATATCTTGCTTTTCTATGCTAATATCTATTCGAGCTAAGTTTTTTCAAACCTGAACGTGTAATGTTGAAATTACTCAAATTTCAATATCTGAAATTATTTCGAATATAATTTTTGCATATAATGCGCAAGTTAATGTTTCGTATGCAATGGAAATTTTGACTTGAATTCTACACTTACCTTTAATAATACAGATGTTGAGGAAAAGCTGTAGTCTGTCTGTGTATTTCAGACAGTATTAGAACACGGTGAATCGTACGACACTTGATAGATAATGGTGTTGTTTTATCAATCACTAACTTGCAATAAAGTGGTTACAAAGATGTTATTCAGTCCTTCTTATGTGAATTTTAATTTTCAACCTTAACATTTAGTTAGGATTGTAAAACAATATAAATGCTAAGAACATACAGCACTAATCATACTGTCAAGCGTACATTTCAGTTGAGTGTACTTTCCAAATAATCAAATGAGAATTAAACTACGACACAGTAAAAATCAGCGTGGAGCAGATAGCTGTGTCAGTTGGAGACTATTAACAATTTATGAAATGCAAGCTAAGAGAAATCAAACAAGTTGTTTAAAGCAAAAAAACTTCAAAGGTTACTTTGACAAAGGAAAAAAATATTTTTGAATGATCATGAAATAGTGTTACAAGCAAAGAACCGAACTAAAATATCGAATTAGGAGTATAAGTATGACAGAAACAATGAGCTATAGAATATACGTCATAAAAATTGTTTGGCACACTCAGACTACTGTATCGTCATAAAGTAGTGTAAATGACATACACAAAACGACAAGGTTATAAGAAATGATTTCCAAAATAATTTAACATCCATTGTGGCAATGAAACCTTAGCAACGTGTTCAGCGTACCTATATAATCTTTATATTTGTACTTCTTCAAGTACTTAATTAGTTGTATGGATGACTTGTGCAAATCTACAGGCACTCCGCTAAAATATTTACGATATTTGTATATAGGTCAAATCATCCCATACAATTTATTTATGAATTCTTTTTTAATCTTTTAGTTAATATGTGATGTTTGGCAATTTTTCTTTGGTAATCCCTAACTTCGGTTTTAATTTCCCATTTCTTTTCTATAAACAGAACAATTTATTTTCTTTTATATTAGCTCCGTTATTTATATATGTATATTATATAATTCTATTTATGTTCTGTGATTTCTAAAATTAACTTTCTATCTTTTTTCTACAACAATCTGTCTTATAATTTTTATGTAAATATATTAATTTACATGATTAAATTATTTAACACAAAGATTTAAGTAAGTGGTAAGTATGATGATGCACATGGGCTTCAGTATCCTGAGGGGACAAATGGTGTATGAACCAATCATTGGTCACCGGCTACCATGGGACTTCACCTCCTTACGATGCTCCACTGCCTTGTGGATCAGACCTTTATGTCAAAGGCTTTGTATGTGACCACCTAATAAAATCACCTGTTTCGGTTTGGGCACCCGAGCAGTATTACAGACCTCACACAAATTTAATCAGATGACAAATATTTCACAAAATACTATGATCGCTTCGATTTCTTGCCTACAAATTAAAGTCGATGTACAAAAACAACAAAGCGAAGAATAATCTCTGTCTATAAAAAGAATAATAATAGTTTTATAAGTTATTTTATTACTTCTAGCTATCAGTTAAGTTTATTTTACCTAATGGGGTTGTTTTACAAACTACGTAGAACCTAGCATAAAATCTGATTTGCTGAAATCTCCAAATCATTTCAACACAATGAAATGTAATTAACAAGATGCTCAGAGAGAGAATTCAAGTAAAAATAATGTATGTGATTGGAAGGAGGGCAAAATATAAAGAATATGGTTTATATTTATCTTCATGAATTGGAGAAACAGTTTACCTAATGATAGATATGGACGGGTCTTTGATTGATTGATTTTTTGTCTAATTCCTATTAGGTAGAAAGTGATTATTTCTAAAATTAATCGTTCTTCACTAAATTCGAGGTTTTTTTTAAAATTTAATTTTGGAAATTATAAGAAATATGAGGCAGCATTGTATGGCTTTAAATTCGTGATAAGCAAACACTGTTCACAGCTCCATAATTTTTATTGTATTGTATAATCCGATCTACACTGTGAAATGGATAACATTGGTTACTCCGTTGGTTTATTTCACTTCTACAAAATTTCCTCACTTCAGATAATCTCACTATAACATTTTTTGACTGAGACGCAATGAAATGAATTTTGATCTTGTAGAGCGTAATATTTCCCTCGTAAAATTACAGATACGTTCTCTTGATGAGTGTCAGTTAATTCGACATCGTCAGTCAAAAATGCAAAAACATTATTTTGTGTTTATTCACTATCATATTGTTATGGCTAATCTCCAATTGTTATGTCTGATCATCGCTGGTTATTATGTCGGAATCGCTTACTACTTATGCTTATAAAACGAGAAACCAGTGCAGTTCCCACGACACGAACTAAAAACACCAAGACTTGTACAATTGAAGATTTGTTAACGCCAAAATACATTCATTATGTATTCATTGTACACTCATTTCGATTAGTAATTAGAATAAAACCACATATATGAAAAATACTCAAAGTTGTAACAAGTCACATGCTGTAAATCATACTGAGTATAGTTCATGTTAATTTAATACAAAGAATATTGTATCTTGAAAAAACACATCACACTCAAATAAATTAATGTTTTAGTGAATAAAAGGTCACACTGGTAAACAAAACAAATACTACACTGAATAATCACCATAGTGGATTAAAAAAACGGTAGTAATATTAGGCGGAAATCGCAATGAGTAAAAGTATATAATTTTGCTTTCTAATCCCATTATATCATATATATATGTTTTTTCTTCTGTATAATTTGAATATTTCTTGTCTTTATTAATTCACCTGGATTTCACACGTATGTTTGTTTACTTTTTTATGTAGTTAACGGTTTTAATCATGAATTGTTTATCGTTTTTATGCACAGCAGAAGGAATAGAAATGTACGCTGTCTAATTCTAAAATAAACATGTAAAATATCCTTACTTTTATGCGGTACTTGTTAACGGTTTCTGTGAGATTCGACTGTTTTGAGCAGATAGTATTTCAATAAATTGGTTCGTATTGCTAATTCCCTGTAATATTGCTGTCTGATAAGCATCAATAGATTATAGTTTTTTTTATTATTTATTACCTTTCATTTTTAAGATACCATTTTCTCTCTCAGTCGTGCAGTTCATTTCTATTTTTCTAATATTTTATTTAGGTCTACTGATAACGTCCTTCCCCATTTAGAGAGACGTTTGTCATGGTCTGAACCAGATATGCTGTCTTCCTTGGAACTACCCATTTATCTGGAGTTTGCGTCAACTCCGGCGAATGCCACCATGGGAACTACTTCTTATATCGCGAAGTCCGTGCTTGATAGACTATTAAAGGGACATATGGATCTTACTAACGTTACTAAAGATGCTTGTTGTGCAATGTGATTTATTGTATGAATTCTAAGAGGAAATTAATTTTATGGTATGTTTATAGCATTTTACTTCATGTAAGTCATCATAGATCTCCCCTTACCAGGTATTTGTAAAACATCCTTTTAGTATTTCAACAACCTTATAGTGTGACCGTTATTAGCGTTATTATTTTCATTTTTTCTGCTTATTCCTCTCCTCAGTTACTTACATGTTTTATAGTAATACCTTACGAATTGTCATGATTTCACCTATAAATTACATTTCATCGGATGATATTTTTTGTTGAATCAGGGGTATCGTTGGCGGAAATGTCTTTACGAAGTTTGAAAGACTATCGTTACTGTTATCACTTGGCAGGAATCACGTGACTATGACTAGCACTCGACTGATTTGGCAGTCAGTTGCACAGTGTTTGAATGGACAGATTTATATTCTAGTTAGCGAATTTATTCTGCACAGGATTTCATGTTTAGTGTCTTTACAAGCGATAAAATGGAGACTTTGAACTGAGGTGTTTACTTGTTGACACTTATTAACAAAGCGTATTTATTGTTGTGAAGTAAATAATATTGATTCTGAAGGTATGAGTTATGTCAATTTAATTCACCAATGAGGGCTTGGTAGTTGAATCACCTGACTGTCACCTATAGTTTTGGAGACGTGGATCCTACTTCGGTTTGGGAAACCAGATAATTCTCTTAGACAAAACTTTACGTTTGAAATTGAGTATAATAACTGGCACTCGATCACTGCGTTGCACTCATTAGTAATGTCAATAGTTAGTAATAATTCACTGACAGCTAGATTATATTGTGTTTCTGTTATAACTTGTAACCGCCTATTAGAGAGCAGTGAATTATCGATCGGACCAAGGACGCGTAAAACACGTGCGAGCAGCTTAGAGTCCTGATTGGTCCTGCTTTCCGCCTAGCCCAGTCCGTTAAGTCCAGAACGCCAATCTCAGCATCCGGAGTATGAATCATTATATTTCAAACATACTGAGTTTATATACCAATCAAACAGACCACAACGTACCAATAAAATATGAAACAACTTTTGTACAAGAATTAGCCAGATGTGGCTGTGAATGAGGAAGGCAGTGACTAATAGACTGGGAATAATTCAGGAATGGAAAATCGTATAATAACAGTTTATAGGTTAAAATAAAGCTTATTGATAAGAGAGACATGAATATGAATAGTTTAGTGAATTAACAATTATACGGTAAAAATATACGTATAGTATTGGTTCACAAATGGATCCCAAAAATTACCACTCTTTATTCCTATCGGGGCATAACAGTTTCTTACTGGCTAGTGTTAAGACGGACTACGCTGCAAGGTGGTGCGTGGAGGACAGGTGACAGACACATTCCAAGTGAGGACCGGAGTCAGATAAGGCTGCTTACTCTCCTTTATCTTCTGGTGGTTGACTGGATTATGAAGGCCTCTACAATCGATGGTAAGCACGGAATACAATAGCAGTTTGGATGCGACTGGATAATGTGTATTTTTCAGGTGACTTAGCTCTTGTATTTCATACACACCAACAAATGTAGATGAAGACAATTAGAGTAACGGAAACCTCTGCATCAACAGGCCTCAGTGTACACAAAGTAAAAACAAGATCCTCGGATACAACACTAAAAACACCAGCTTAATCATACTTCATGAAGGAACTCTGGAAAATGTAGAAACGTTGTTGTATCTGAACAACATCATCTATTACCAAGGATAATCTGAAGCAGATGGGTAGGCAAGGATAGCATTCGTATGTTTGAAGAACATATGGAACTCAAAACAACTGTCAGCCAATATCAAAGTCAGAATCTTCAATACTAAAGTTGAGACAGTTCTAATGTACGGAGCTGAAACTTGGAAAACTACTACAACCATCATCAGATGGTACAAGTGTTTATAAACCATTGTCTACACAAGATGCCGAATGTTCGTTGGCGGGGTACCATCATCAACAACCTGCTGCGATAAAGAACAAACCAGATTCGAGCCGAAGAAGGAATTAGGAAACAACATTGGGGGATAGAAGATACATTGTGAAAATCACTACACTGCATCACGAGACAAGCGCTAACTTGAAATCTTGAGGAGAGAATAAGATCAAAGAACGCCTCACTGAGTGTCGATAGCAAACATCAAAAGAATGCGTAGCAACTGGAAAAAATTTCCCATGGTAGGGTTCGATGGAGAACCCTAGTGTGCGGCCTTTGTTCTTTCACGAAAGGTAACAAGTGTAAATAAGCAATGCATTTTTAAAATACCGTTTCGATGGATCTAGACGTTTCTTCACCGGTTGCTTTTTTGGTATGTGCTACTGATATCGACAGACATAAGTATTGAGTATCACCGATCGAAAGTGAAAAGCCTGGCGGCAGAATGTTAGGAGGATCGAAGAAAAGAGAACGAGAACAGAGTGATTGGTGTGGAAACGAAAGAACAATGAAGTCTGAGACATTTGATTGATATTTTGTAAATGAAATATTTACTGTATGGTCCTCAGATTTTACTAAGAGATTGTGTAATTTTGTATTTAAGTACATTTGGTTGTCCCCGCCTGTGTTCTCGTTCACTACAGTTTTTCTATCAAAGTTTCATAGTTAGGAAGAATTTGAACATGGATTTAACGAATTTCAAAGAGTAAGCAAGGCATAAATATATTGAATGCAAGTAATATGTATTCATTGCATTTGTTTGGAGAGTAAATGAAATCATAGTTAACACTGAAGATCGTAGTTCTCTGCTTAAAATGGACATTTCGCTTGACAAGATGGGCAAAAGTGTAGGCCTTTCTATAAGGCCGTACAAATGTTTACCTTTGTGTAGTCAAGTAAATCTAAATATTCTACTTATCAATCAATACCTCCAGTTGCTTCTCGTGATGAATATATGTAAGTACTTGCTAATTGTTCGTCAACTTATGGTGTCCTGAAAGATTCATGGTATCCATCCAATGAAGTAGATTATCTGCTAAAGAAAAGGGGGACATAGCTCCTGCACTTCAATAAAGTTACTTGTTAACTATCGTGGTTGTTTATGTGAAGGATAAATTTCAAAAGGAAATCACTGACATGACTTAAGTAATGTAAAGTCTAAAATCTCTAGTAATGGTTGTGTAATTAAATATTTTGCAACTCAACAGCCAACTGAATTAATTGGAAAGTATCCCGAAGCGGTTTGCATTGGTTAGACGTATGCAATAGTACTGTTATGAATATTCTTTGTTTCTATTTGTTATTACTGACAATTGTGGGCTTGGCCGTCTTACTATGTTGAGAATCATATGGAATATACCTTCCTGTATTACTGTTCTTTCTAGGCCATCACAGGAGTTTCTGCATAGTCAGTCAGTCAGTCAGTAACAACGTAGAAGTTAGTACGTACGTACATCAGTTCGAGTTGCCATACCACATTAGCACAGAGATGCGGTGGTCGATTCAAATCCCGTAGTGGTAAAGGTAGCAAGAGTATAAGCAGTAATCGGGAAGATTAGGGTTTGGAGATGTTATTTAACGAGTATAATCCAGTGAAATAAATTTGGAAAGAGGAAAAAAGGGACATGAAGAATTCAGAAGATTAGAATTTGGGAGAACATAGAGAGTGGATGCACCTGCGCCATTGCAAACGATTTTGAGCCATGTCATTCAAGATCTCTAACCATCGGTTGCTATCATCTCGCGGTCCCCAACCAGGTAGTCTACACCTAACAACATGGCTCAGTCCACTTGTCAGTGACTTCATGGACTTGCGCCATGTTTTGGTCTGGCCGCCCCTAACTTTCTTTCAACCTATTCCCATACCATTGAGCATCGCATGTCGAGGCAGTCGGTGGTTGGGCATACGTAACACATGTCCGAGCCATCTCAACTGATGAAGTTTCACTACTTCGTCAATTGATTTGCCATCCTTACCTAGTACCCGTTTCCTAACAATTGCGTTACTTACTCGATGGTCCCAGCATGTACGAGCAATATTTCGAAGACACCTATGATCAAATACTAGTAACCTACGAATATCCTCTACTCTTACCGGCCATGTTTCACTGCCATAAAGTAGGACGGAACGAACTGCTGCGCAGTAAACTCGTCCTTTGGTTGATAGACGGATATCTCGCCTACGCCATAAATGACGCAAGTTGGCAAAAGCTAGTCGAGCCTTCTGTATCCGTGCTGAGATTTCGTCACACACCAGACCACAAGGGCTGATGAGACTTCCAAGATAAGTGAAGCGGTCGACACACTCAACTACTTCACTCCCTATCACTAGTTCGGGTGTCGATGTAACCCAATCCTGAAGCAACATTTTGCATTTCGAGGGAGAGAATCGCATCCCAAGCATGCTTGCATTGTTGCTTAGAGTGGTCAGAAGACTCTACATTTTGTCAGCGTCTTCACCAAATAAAACTATGTCATCTGCATATTCTAAGTCAACAAGTGAACCTCCCGGTAGAAGTTCAACCCCTGGAAATTTAGATGAGGAAAGTGTTATCTCTAAAAGTACGTCGACCACAAAGTTGAACAAGAATGGGGAGAGTGGACAGCCCTGACGAACACCACTTGAGGTAATCAATTCTGATGACAGTTCGCCATAAGCTCTCACTCTACCAGTTGTGTTCGAGTAGAGAGCCTTTATAAGGTTAATGTACTTCTTTGGTACTCCTTTCAGTGACAAACACTGCCATAGAACCTCACGGTCAACAGAGTCGAATGCCGCCTTAAGATCGAGAAATACTACCATTGTGGGGCGTCTGAATGTGTGTCTGTGTTCTAGAACCTGACGTAGTGTGAATATCTGATCTATACAACCACGTCCAGGTCGAAAACCGGCCTGGTTTTCTCTAGTTTGCTCTTCACGAGCTTTGATTAGGCGTCGAAGTATTATTGAAGCTAATATTTTAGACACTATATTAGTCAAACTGATTCCTCTGTGATTGTCACAAGAGGACTTTTGTCCTTTCTTATAAACTGGCACAATCAGTGATTGAGACCAGTCAGATGGGATTACGTCCAGTTCCCAAATTCTACCTAAGACCTCGGTTAATCTCATTGCTAATACTGGACCACCATCCTTAAAAATCTCAGGAGTAAACCTGTCAGGGCCTGCTGCTCTCCCTCGTTTCAGATTTCCTATGGCTTCTTCAACTTCATAAAGAGACGGAGGACCTACATTAACTTGCCATTCAGGTTGACTGGAGATCGTGGGAAACCGAAGTGTGGCTGAAGGCCAGTTGAACTGATCCCTGAAGTGTTCTGCCCATC